AAGATTTCCAAACTAGTTTCAGGTTGATGAAGGTCTATCTTGACTTTCCGATTCTGGCTGGCTGGCTTCGACACCCTCATCCGTTTCGCCCGCCAGCAGTTCATACTAGGCTTCCTAGATAAGTGGAGGAAGTAACCTCTGCCGAATCTCTTGATTTGATGGTGATAGGTTGTTGTTGCTGTTGGTTGGCTATCTTCATCACTTCCATCTTCTCTATATTCACCTGGGGTCCTGTCTCCTCTGCCTGCTTCTTCGGCCAGTTTGTTGGTTTTCGTCTGCAAGCATTCTAGTTTGTGTGAAAGTAGACGAATGTCATCTGAGGAATTCAGATCCTCGAGAGTCTTCTTATCGGTGGTCCAGCGTATTTCTGTCTCCTCGCTCCCATTGCACAGCCTGACGCATAATCCTCCAATCCACCACGATTAGGAATATCACTGGTGACAATAGACAAACAGCCTTCTCTTACTCCTGTGTTTACTTCGACCACCTCGTTGAGTTTCCCGTTATGGATGACTCGACAAGTTTCACTGACATGTAGCTGTTGAATGAGGTTGATAAGGATTTGTGTACCGCACACCATAGATTTGAAGTAGTTTCCAAATTACTTCTCAGAAAACGCTATCGAAGGCCTTTTCGAAGTCGATGAATTTGAGGTAGACGTTTTATTGCCATTCTCTGCTTTGTTCGATGACGACACACAGGGCTGCAATTTGATCGGTATATGATTCGCCATTCATGAATCCAGCTTGTTCCGAGAGGAGTTATTTGGCCGGTGCACCTTTTATTCTCTCCAGGATGATGCTAATTAGTTCTTTTTACTTGGTCTGGACAAGAGCATTATTCCATGCCAGTTCTTGTAAAAGCCTAGATTGCCCTTCTCTGGCAGCTTAACCTCGTCTAGTTAACTAGCTTGCTATTTTTCCAGGCGGTTCCAAGCCCGGGTAAAAAGGGAGGGTTGCGCGTGGGGATAGCAACTACATACCGCTAAACCTAACAGACTGCCAGAGAAAATTCAGTTCACAAAAGCTAGATTTAAGCATTACTTGTGACTTATTCTTACTCCTCACATATGTAGTTAGATGTTTGAAATACGAAAGCTGAACTGAAACGTAGGTATATGTTGGACTATATTCGGTCGTGCGGTTACGCATCTTTTCGAATTTTCAATAAGTGACTCAAAAATCCTGGTTAAGTGATGGTTTGTGAAAAGTTTTGTCAAGATTAAAGCAGCAGGCCTGACGTTGCCACTGGATAACGTGGGCTTTCCTGATCTAATCACATTCGTACTGCCAGTTGGTTTTCCAAAGAACATATTATCAAACTGAGTAGACAGACTGAAACGCGCGTCAAAAATCGAACGTTTCAGAGAGTTTTTGGCCTCTTTGAAATTCCGGTTAGTTTGCCGTTAGTCTACATGTGGTTCATGGAGTTCAATAGAAGACCGTATCTGAAATTTAATAGTAGAAGCGTGTTTTTTCACCACCGAAACTTTATTCATTGTCTGTTAAATTCCTGATAGGGTTGCATAAATATATTGACTTCATCCTCCTGTCTTTTCTACACTTCCAAATGGTTTCTGATCTTCGCACGTTCTGGATTTGAGAGTCAGACCCGTCGACTGCCGTAGATCTCATTAGTGAAGTAACAAGGTGTGCGTTAATTAATATCGAAAGGAATATGAAGCTTCCATCAGTGTAGTGACTCTGTTGCTGTCGTACGGCATCAAAAAAGAAGGAAGCAGATTGTGCCTACGAGACTCAAGGTTCCAATCCAAACATCAGTGTTAATATTTCAACCACTCACATTATTATTATCTTATATTATTCCTCACCGGAAAGTGTTACAAAAGGGGTGGGACATTTCTTTACTTCGCTTATGTAAAATTACAGCATTTCATCTAAGGTTTGAGGGCAAAGCAGTAGGCTAAAGTAGCTCGGAAAGAACAAGAGTACAAAAAGGGACTAGGAAGAACGCGTGACGTTGGAGGTGTTTGGTCTCAGCCTTGGATTACAACTTTCTTCGGGAAAAGATGCACTCGTCTGCGATCAAATAGTCCCAATAGAATATAACGAATTCATTTTATACAATCTATAGTGGCAATTACAGTACGTTTCCCCGGTATTCTTCATGATCCTGAGACACTGAATGGGCTTCGAGGGAAAAATTTAACCTGTTAACAGGAAAACCATATGCAGATTGTGGGCATGAAAATATCCCATAGGTACATAAAGATTGTTGAAGCATCTGTATTCAAACAAGAACAGTTAAATTTTTTGGCATCCTCAACCAAGTGAACAAAACAAAATATGCAATAGAAATCAACGATCCTAATGCCAAATGACGTGCTACTACATCATCAGTGACTGAATGTTGACAAATTCATACGCGAGAACACTTATAAACACCCGGAAGAGATGGGAAAATTCGTGAAAACGGTCTTCAATGATCACGTCGCTGGGATAATTTTAGGCCCGGATCAAGCTTTCAAAATAAAATGTTTCACCTGACTTTGAAAATTAACCTGAAGCAGTACACTAATGTTAAGCCAGCCACATCGGGAGGTGAATTACCTAAACCCAGAACCTTGGAGGAGTAGACATCGTGTCTCACTTTTGTTGCTGGCCTGTGATGCGGAATCCTGTTGTGGTTGACTTTTGGTACTTCTTTTACAGTCCCACTCGAAGTGATTTGAGCTGCACATTATTTTATATATTCCGGACTGAAATATGATGCACAAATCATCGTTTTTTCACCATTCGACGCCTGAAAAACTATAAAATTCTTAAATATCTGTGTATAGGTGCTCTAAATGTAACAAGCCAGCTAGAAACAACAGAAGAACATATCAGCCATCTATTTCCTTGCGAAGAACTCCGTGTGCCATTAAGAAACAAAAGAATATACATGGAGCTGAGAATATTATATATATGGCAGATACGAAAGGCAACGAAGTCCCCGTTGAAGCGTCCGTACAAGCTAGAGAATCTGCACTCAATGGACCGAGAAACATGTGAATTTAATGCATGGCAGATGATGAATAGCAGCCCGAGGGTTACATGTCTCAGAGGAATATAGCACTGGATCCGGTACATTGGTCAACAATTGATTTGGTCGTGAAACAATATGCAGCAGTTTTAGGTAACTGGCAGAAGTGGATTAAAGTCTGACGAAATCAGAAGTAGCATGTCTCATCTCAAAAATGGCAGAAATATTACTACTGTAATGTCTAATTGCGACGAGACAGTGTCTAAGAGTAAACCAAACGGCAACATACTAGTCAGTGTACGCATCAAAGTTGGTAATAATGAATGAATTTGGAAGCCTGTTTCGACCAAGAATCAGTCATTAAGTCGCTTCAATTTAAAGAAGGCTTGGCACATGTAGGTCCATTTTCACAGCTGATGGTTATATGGTTAACATTTAACATGGTTAACAGCCGTAGGTGTCTTTTGTCTGACATTCCCTGAGTGACTGGTGGTGCATTAACGTCGCAAGCTCCTAAGTGTGATGGTGACTAGGCTTTATACAACCCCATCAATAGCTTCATTTAAGCGCAACTGGCTACCGTTCAAGAAGAACTGAAGTGGCTTTGGTGCAGGTGTCACTTGTGACTGATCCTTCTCCTAGAAGCAGCCCTTCATGGCTCTCTGTCTGCATTTTGAAGGTAATAATTCCATCTAATTAAAGGGACTTCATTTATGCTTATGATGTTGGATGAGCGCAAGTATGAATCTGCTGATTTTATTTCTAGTCTGTTCACCATCACCCAATCCTAGAGAACGGCAAGGTGATTTGCAGTTATAATGAATTTCCCGACTTAACATAACCACTCACACCTTTATTTTACTGGATCACTGGACGGCGTAGGTTATTAACTAGATCAATCATGAAAATCAGGGCAAGAACCATGTCGAGAAGAGCTTCCTTCAACATCTAAGTAGCTGACCTTCCTGTTAAGCATCTTCCAAACATCCTAAGAAATTCCATACACTCCACTTATTTTCCAAATAAAGATAGCAGTTGGTCTCCAGCAAACGTTTCATCGAACTCTTCAATAGATAATTTTGTGAGACACAGTGTTAACACACGGACTTGGGTGTTCTGATTCTACCACTCTGTTCGATGATCCTTGGTCTCCTGCCACTTAACAGTGCATCAGTGACCTTCCAGAAGCCATGTTAAGGTTCATGGTGGACGTGCTCTTATTTAGATGTTCCCTTAAAGTGACCACCGAGTAGACCTTCCATCGCCTTTGGCACTGTAGGGCTACAGGTGTGTATCATTTGGGATTTTATAAATGCTCACTTCGAAAATGGGAGATAGGATAAATAGTATAAAAACCTTGGTAACTCGTGTCCGCCAACCGAGTATTCAAACAGCTTCATTAAGATGGCATACGGAGCCTTAGTTTACTGTTTCATGTTGCCATCGCATCTAGAGGATCTGTCTGGACGGAGCTTTATCATCCGATAAAGAATCAATTTTAAAGTTATTTGTATAGAATTAACTTTCATGAAATGTGATTGTACTTTAGTACCAAACTGTGCGCATATTATTCGCACATATTCAAGTAGTACTTGCTGGGGGAGTGACAAGAATTTTATATCTGCAGAATAGGACGTGAATGTATTACATCCATTCTTAGTCAGATTCCATTGTGTCGATACGTATCCACACTGTCATCATAGATTACATGATCAACAACACACTGAGAATTCGGTGTCCAGCAACGCTTCAGTTTTCACAGACGTCATTATGCTGCTTACACAAATGCACCAACGCGAATAAAGCGGTAATTAGTCCCTTAGTATTGTTTGTGTCCTCCTGACAAGCAGCTGACAATATAAAATGAATTTTGCCGGAGATAAAAACGGAGTTGTCAATATGGAAGCGCAGCCTGGTTAAATTGGTAAACCCCGTACAGTATAAATTTAGCAGCTGGAAAACTAAAATTTTCCTTAAATTTACATTTTTGTTTTCAAATTTTAATGTTGGACATAATGAGTTTCCAGTGGATCACTGTTTGAATTTACGTTTAGTTGCGCGGTTTGTATCGGTTGCACGTTGTGTCAGGCAATGAATGATCAATTGGTTTTTCGAGGCACTTTAGCTGGCCACAGAGGATGGGTCACGCAGATCGCCACAACACCTTCACAGCCAGATTTACTTGTATCTGCTTCCCGAGGTAATTAATCATTATTACAGAACTTATGTCTCAGATAAAACTCTTATTGTATGGGACCTCAGGCGTGAATCTGGGGAATACGGTGTACCTGTCAGGTCACTACATGGCCACAACCACTTCGTGAGTGATGTGGTTATGTCATCAGATGGGTTGTATGCCCTTGCTGGTTCATGGGACCGTACTTTGCGACTGTATGATCTGGAGACTGGCAAAACGACCCGCCGTTTTTGTGGACACGAAGGAGATGTCCTGAGTGTCGCTTTCAGTGCGGATAACAGACAGATAGTTAGTGGTTCCAGAGACAAAACTGCAAGATTGTGGAATACACTGGGTCAGTGTAAGTACGTATTCAACGATGGTGGTCATACTGATTGGGTTTCATGCGTGAGGTTCTCACCAAATACAGATAACCCCATTGTGGTTACATGTGGGTGGGATAAGCAAGTCAAGGTAGGTTTATATTTTCGTCTAGTAACTGTCTTAGGTCTGGGGTTTAAGCAACTGCAGTTTACGTACAACTCACTATGGACATACAGGATATCTTAACACAGTTACGGTCTCACCAGACGGTTCACTTTGTGGCAGTGGAGGCAAGGATGGACAAGCTATGTTATGGGATTTGACATCAAATAAGTTCTTATACACGCTGGCTAGTGGTGGAATTATTAATGCGTTGTGCTTCTCTCCTAACCGTTATTGGCTTTGCGCTGCGGTTGGACCCAGCATCAAGATATGGGATTTAGAAAACAAAGTCTTGGCCGATGATCTACGTCCTGAATCGATTTCTGCCAATGCATCTGGGAAACAGTTACAACCTGATTGCACATGCTTAGCTTGGTCAGCTGATGGTCAAACATTATTTGCTGGATTCACAGACAACCTTATTCGTGTATGGCAGATGAGTCAAATAGGTTGTTAAGTAAAATATACTGATTGGATTTAATGTGTTTTCGTTCCTTAACACGCAGTCACCTAACAGTCATGTTAGCAGTGTTTTTTATATGAACATATTTCAGTTTCTAACTAGTCCGCTTGTGAATAATACATTTCTGAGGGTCATTGATAGCGTTTATTTGTTTATAAATGGGCTTCAGTTCGGTGAACTTGCTGTAATAGCTTTGAATAATGTCGTTCAGACACTTAAGAAAACCTGAACGTCTGTAACATCATAGACTGACGAATGATGATACATCGTAAAACGTTAGAAATCTATTATACGGCATAAAGTTTTTGGAAAAGTCGCTTACTGTGCAGCTGTCTTGAGAAAATGTGCTGCATAGAAGTTTCTTCTAACTTTTTGATCAAACAATCGTAGTTAATCTCTGATCTACCTTGACCAGTAACATAATGTGTTGGAACGAAATGATAGTTTTGTTGATTAAGCATGTAAATGATTCTACAATAATAAAGCGAAGTAGTCCTTACCTTATCTGAGGCGGTGGTCATAGGTAACCTAGTTTACCTGAGTCCAATGGGATATACCATTGTTCCCTTTTGGGGGCTATACCTAAAACGTGAGGAACTGCTCGTGTATGTAGACAAGGGGTCCCTGATTATTTGAAGTTGTAATGGACTTGTCACATACCAATCTTCTCTTGGTCGACGCAGTTAACGATACATAAGGCGCTGGCATGCCTTGATGAGTAGCATCCAGGCAGTGCTTTACGCACTGTCCATTCTGGTAGGGCTGGATTGATGTCATCCTCTTGTATTAAATCACGTTGTTGTGAAAGGTGGAAGTATGTCGATTTATGGGCAGTAATTTTTAAAGTGTTAAGATGTAGCTCATTGAGAAAGTTAACAGCTTGTGGTGGCACTTCGATGAGTCCTTTATTTCAGTATTTCTTCTACGTGTTTCTTTAACTCTCCGAATTCATTCAGTAGAAGTTTGATTCACAACCTTTATAATAATAACAGGTGAAATTGAGTACTGACCCGCTTAGTCAACTGCAAAAAAACTAATTTATTATATGTTTAGAACTCTGTAAACTGGTACTAACAGTTTACTCTTAAATATAAACAACAATTCATGTCATTTCTTATAAGCTGGATATCCAGTGTTAAATCGTTGCTTTCATGTATAAAAATGGGAGTAGTTGTGTGGATGTAAAGTTGAGTAAGACACGGGTGTACCGTCCGTCCCAAAGGAGTTGGTATAACCCTTTGAACCATTTTTGGCTAGCTTGAAACAGTCCTGCATGGGCCTGCACCTCAAGAAAAGCGCATTACGCAGGAACTACTCAGTAATGCGTGTACTGGGTAGGTATGTACAAATAATGCATCGTCATACTAAATTTAGACATCTTAATATGAAAACGGGTCTCTTTTTCAAAAAAACGGGTGAAGTTCTATGGACTACTAACACTAGTTATGGAGCTGGGGTATATGAATTTTAATATTCGTTTGTGTTGTCTGGGTGTATGTAACAACAACGTCGTTTTCCGAAGCACTTTAGTATAACGTCTTGTAATCAGTCGAAATCCCGAGGGTATCCTTCTTACACGCGTCCCACTTGAATTTAAGCAAATAAACCTTAATTCGCATCCCATTAAGAGAAGAATAACCAGCAAACCATCTTCACTTTTCTAAGGTTTCTTCCGCAACCGACATGCGATCCAGCACAAGATTTTGCGGAATGCATCATTCTCTGTGACATGCGCTGATCTGTTCGTAGACAAGTTTCATATAAGTTATCAGAATCTAGTTAGTATCTAACAACAATGTTCTAAGTTGCCTCCGATTAGTCCGAAGTTACTCCGCTATTTGTCCTATTCACCGGTTAACGTTATGCTTTGTGAGTCATTTAAAAACTTAAGTCATAGCAACTATTTCCTTAATACCATATACTGAGAATTCTGTACTGGATACACAAATATGGCTGTGAATAAATCAGTTGTTCAAATGAACTGTCATCAAGATTTGACCGAATAGTTCTAAAATATTTGGGCGCCGAGTGAGAAGTAGACATTTGTAAAAAATTATATTTGTAAAATCTCAGCGATATTGAAATAAGTAATTCCAACGTTTCGTTCGGCAATCTGGTCCGAACGAAACGTTGGAATTACTTATTTCAATATCGCTGAGATTTTACAAATATAATTTTTTACAAATCAGTTGTTTATTGTATATCGTTCAAAACATACATCTGTAATGACTGACTCATTGTTTATTAGTCTCCATTAGGTGTGAAGACCCATGGTATTAAATAAAGGCCTGCTATAGAGTAAAAGTCAGCTAATTGCAATGAAAGATTAATGAAGACTGTTAGCAAGTGGTTTTTTATCTCCGAAAATGCGACAGTGACATTGAAAGGAAAGTAAAGTGTGACAGATATATGGATCACTTCTAAACAGAAATTTCTGTGTTCTCCCAGACTGCATAGGAAACGCAGCTTTTATTCAGTCTCAAAGGAAAAATAAGCAATGCGAACCACTACTTACATTAATTGCTCAGTGCTAGGTAAGTACTGATTTCTAGGGATGAAAGGAAATTAAAAGTGTCGACCAACTTAGACACGTAACAAGGCTCTACGATAGCAGTATAAACTGTGACTACAGCGATACTACACATGTTTTGATGATGCCAAAGGTGGTTAAGAGATGACTTAATCCTCTGCTCTTTGCTACATCGGAATTTATATCGTCTCACTAAGGTTGTGCGCTTACTGAGTAAGTTCAAAACAATTTTGTCGGGTTGAAACCTGTATAAAATAATGTAGTTGACATAGTATTACGTGCTCTTGTCGGTCAAGTGGAGACATCAGTATGTAGATGTTTGCTAAAGCGTATATTTCGCTACACCCACCAGCTACTTTTCAAAAATTACAATCCTGCTGAACCTATTTACTCGAAGCGCACACTGAAGTAACTCCGACCATTTTTTTATCCAGTATCCCTATTGAAATCTTCAAAATGTTTATTGTAGACGGTGAGTACTTGATAAACTGTAAATTGTTAAAATCACAAATATAAATAAGATAATAGGTTTCCAGGCCGTAGGTGTTACTATCTGATGAAGAAGCTGTGGCTTACACAGCGAAACGTTCAGAAAAATCTTGTTTTGATTTTCTTAACACGCTGGGGTTAATTTAAATAATTTATAACAAATATAAGTAGTAACAATGTTCACTGTGAGCTCCAGTAGTTGTGACATTACCACGATACACAAAAAGTTCTCGTAAACAGAAAAAATGCGGTGTTCCTATGCACGAATAAAGTTAACACGCTGATAAGATCTTTTGAAGATAGATATTAGCTTGCAGCTTGCCACAAAAACCATAGGTATCATGTGTCACTTGATAGACTGAATTACAAAGTTCTGCTATCCATTAGGAAAATCAAGCACAAGTGATAAATATAAACAGTGCGACCACGATTTAGAAACATCTTAGAATTCTGACCGAAATTACGCACAAACCTCGGTAAGATTATTTCACAAATAACTGCTAAGACCAGGTTGTCCATTAAAAACAACTTGCGTTGCATACGAATTTCCGGTCTAATAATAATTTATTTGTTAATTATCACATGATGCTGGGTTGTTATGCATTTCGATGCCATCAGTAGAATGCAGTGGATCTGGATGTCGTGTTTACAAACAGTCATCAGCAAGAAGTATCTGCTCACTCAGGTCTAAAGAAATCCCTCAGGAAAACTGATCCTGGGCACGCAGTACTACAGAGATACTTGGACCGATTATCACCATGTCAGCAATTGTATATGATACATAAAATGCATTGGTAGGCTAGTCAGACATCAAGTAAGTTTTTTTATAGACGTAAAAGGTGAAATTCTTAGCCATTAACCACCTATTCTTACATTTAGAAGATAAAAGAAAATTTTCGATAATTTCCTCTTCTGGCTCTACAATATATATATATTGGTGTTTTAAAAAAAAATAATGTCGATTTGTTAAGATCACTGAAATTACAGTTCAAGAAAGATGCATAAGTTATAATAAGCATAAGAGTGTAATAGTAAATAGAATATAAAATAAAATTGAGGAAATTTCTAAAACAAATTAAGGATCATTAAAACCTTGGTGGCCAAAGTAAGGAAAGTGTCTGAACCAACTTCTTTTGGATACATAAGTTAGGTTTCTTAATGTGGATCCCAACAGTCTCAGCTATATGTAGTCGACGAACTCTTGAGGTAAATTAAGATTAGTTGGTATGCGGTAGATAAATTTGAAAGCCTCGTTAACATCAAGCTTGTATTCTATATGCACGAGATGAGATAGAATAGAACTGTGAATGGACTTTGTTTCTCCCTTACTGAACCACACAGAATGGTGTTCGGAAATCTGACTATAAACACGCCTACTTGTACGGCCTAAGCAGCTAACTGGCTCCACAGGAGTAGACAAATCGGTAGATATACATGGAAGAGGTGAAATTAGGCAGTTTATCCTGAACTCCCAAACGCAAAATAGGTGTGGTTTTGAAAACACAGTATAATTCAGCAGCACTGAATGCTCTTTTTACTGCATTCCTTAGGAGTTGTGTTAATATCTCACTGATGTTATCCCCGAGGAAGTGAATTTATAAGAACAAGGCCTTCCTTTGTGGGAACTGTTGGTACTTTGGCCTGCCTTGACTTTTGATTCATATTCTTATCAACGAATTTTTCTGGGAAACTGTTCTCACTCAGCAACTTATTCTTAATAAACATGCGTAATACACAGGTCTTCGAGTTTAAGGCTTGCCAACAAGTGTTGATAGGAAATAAATTTCTTCAATTCTACTTATCTGACACAGAAGACAGCTTCAAATGCATCATCTATTCATCCTATAATACCATCAAGTCTTGAAAGTACTTAGATGTTATCTCGGTTAAGATAACAGCTTCAGGAGATAACTTCACAGATTTCAGACTACTGTAATCTGACCAGTGAAAGCACAATGTAAAGGGAATTGTGCTTAATTGAAGTTGGACATAATGGTTAAGACTTTATTTTGATAAATCACACAGTGTTGTACAGTTATATTAACTGATGACGTTCCGAGCACAAACTATTGCTCATAATCATATCAAGTTACTCACAAAACTTCTTTCCTTCAT